GCTCCGTGCTCGGCCCCGGCCCCGAGAAACGCGGGGCTCAGTGCCCATACCCTTGAATGCCGTACGGGGTACTTACACCGCGGCTGCACCGGCCCCAAACAGCCGCCAAACACCCCAGTGCTACCAGCTGCTTATGTGCACGGCTGAATCCGTCCTGGTAGTACGTACGTGACAGGGAAAAAAAAACTAACCCCAAAAAAACCAAACCCAACACACCTCATACAGCATATTTCGGTAATTTTGCAAATAATTTTCTCTAACTTCTTTAGGTTTTTAATTTTGTAGTTTCCTGGCTGAAGTAAAACCTCGTGGGGAGTAGGAAGGAGGGTTGGCGTGTGGGTTCTGATGAACTGAGGGGAGGAGTGAAAAGTTGCCTCTGATTCCTGTTAGGAACGTTAGTACAAATTAGGGACCTTTTCTGCTAATTTTTTTGCAAAAGCTGCCCTGCTTATCATATTGTTTGAACGATCCAGAAATTCTGTCAGCTTTGTAGATAGAAAGAAGCTACTTAACCCTTTCTCGTAAGAGATTGCATCACACTGTTAAGAAATCAGACCAGAGGCTGCATTCCCTGAGTATGAGTTGGTCTCCCTTGCATGTCTTTCTTCCGTGTCGAGACTTATTAGCACCATCCTCAGATCCTACCATGATTTTCTCATATCTTATCTACAGAATTAGGCAAAAAACTAAAATTTTGGGTTTTTTTGTTCTATGTTCTTTGCAGCAGGATGCCTTGCAAAGCATCACATAAGTTTATTGGGGTTTTTTTGTCTGCCTCAACTATAGGGAGAGATGATCTTTGCCTACCAGAGAAGTGACCGGGAGAGCCTCTTTCACGCTGTAGCCACAGGCCTCTGTACAGACGCCAGCAACCAGCCACATTCAGGCAGCTCAGCCGTGAGGAAAGAAAGGGGAAGGCTGAGCAGAGGCTGCACATCGCCTGAGAGCAACCAGCCCAGGCACACCCGCAAGCAGGGTGCTGCGACGGGCCATACCCCGGGCTCGCCCCGGCGGAGGCTCTGGGGGATCCGGGACCGACCCAGAGGCCCCACTCCCGCCGAGCCCAGGGTTGGGCCTAGCATCGCTACAGCCGCCCGTCACTATGGGAACGGGTGCAGGCGCGAGGCATGCCGGTCTGAAAGAAACTGCTGCAGTAAAATGCTACGAGAGCGCCGGATCCAGGCCAATGAGCGCTCG